CAGGCAGGAGGAGTTCCAGTGTCTAGCCGCTGCTTCACCTCATCTTGCGTCTGTACTGCTAGCCCCTGAGGGAGACCCGGATGCACCAGACATCCCGACTCCGCGCTCTTACGCGGAGGCGATAGAGGGTCCCTACTCCTCTCAGTGGCAGGCAGCTATGGATGCAGAGATGGCTTCCTGGAAGTCCACAGGCACCTACGTTGACGCTGTTCCCCCTCCTGGGGCGAACATCGTCAGTGGCATGTGGATTTTCAGGGTGAAGCGGCCGCCGGGTTCTCCGCCTGTCTTCAAGGCGCGTTACGTGGCTCGTGGCTTCAGTCAGCGGCAGGGGGTTGACTACTTTCAGACCTTCTCCCCCACCCCGAAGATGACCACTCTTCGGGTTCTGCTGCACGTTGCTGCTCACCGTGACTACGAGCTGCACTCTCTTAACTTCAGCACTACTTTCTTGCAGGGCAGCCTGCACGAGGAGATCTGGCTGCGTCGCCCACCTGGCTTCACTGGGTCTTTCCCTCCTAGTACCCAGTGGAGTCTCCGGCGTCCAGTCTACGGTCTCTGCCAGGCGCCACGTGAGTGGCACGACACACTGAGGACTACGCTCGCGGCACTTGGGTTTGCTCCTTCTACTGCCGACCCGTCGCTGTTTCTTCGCACCGACACCTCTCTGCCGCCGTTCTACATCCTCGTGTACGTCGACGACTTGGTCTTTGCCACAGCTGACACTGCTGGACTCGCCTATGTGAAGTCCGAGCTGCAGAAGAGACACACGTGCACTGACCTGGGTGAACTGCGCAGCTACCTTGGCTTGCAGATCACCCGGGACAGAGCACGTCGCACCATTACCCTGACTCAGTCACACATGGTGCAGCAGGTCCTTCAGCGCTTCGGCTTCACGTACTCCTCGCCTCAGGCCACTCCTCTGCCTACTCGCCACTCGCTCTCAGCTCTGCCTTCGGATGAGTCCGTAGAGTCGAGTGGCCCGTTTGCAGAGCTTGTTGGCTGCCTCATGTACCTGATGACCTGCACACGACCTGACCTCGCATACCCTCTTAGCATTCTCGCACGCTTTGTTGCTCCTGGGAGACACAGACGAGAGCACATGGCTGCAGCGAAGAGGGTGTTGCGCTACTTGTGCAGTACGTCGGGCATGGGGCTAGTGCTTGGAGGGCGCAGTCCAGTGGTCCTCACTGGGCACGCAGACGCTTCTTGGGCTGACGACCAGGCTACGCAGCGGTCGTCACAGGGTTACACCTTCAGCCTAGGTTCCGGCTCTGTCTCGTGGCAGGCTACCCGCTCGTCTTCTGTTCTCGGCTCCAGTTGTGAGGCTGAGATCTACGCTGGGGCTATGGCTGCACAGGAGTTACGCTGGCTCACCTACCTGCTGACCGACCTTGGAGAGCAGCCTCGTTCTCCTCCAGTCCTGTACGTAGACAACAAGGCCATGCTGGCCTTGTGTCGAGAGCAGCGACTGGAGCACAGAACGAAGCACATTGCTCTCCGCTACTTTCTTGCTCGTGAGCTACAGCAGCGTGGACAGCTACGACTTGCGTACGTGGCCTCTGAGGCCAACACTGCTGATGTGTTCACCAAGGCACTTGCGCCTTGTGATCATCAGCGTTGTTGCACGCAGTTGGGTCTTGTGGCTGTCTTGCCTCACTTGCTCTCCTCTTGACCTTGCTTGTACCTTCGCCTATATATACTCTTGCTCTTGCTTGCTTGATTCTTGTATATCTCTATATATGATCTTGCATGTAAACTGGCCTTCTGGCCTTTGAACTTGTGCTCGGAATGCGTGGTGACTTTGTGATCCACCCTGAGCTTTGCTTTGCTTTGCTTAACTGGTCTTGTGACCCCTTGTTCTCCCCCACTTTGCCTATGGGGGTGTGTCAGAACATATAGCTTACTTGTTTCTGTAGGCTATAGTGGGGTATCCCATAGGGGGTACAACCCAATTAGGGTTTCCTATTTGTACCCACTTCATTTCATAGTCGTTCACTCCCGTTCATTCAGTTTCACACTTTGACCTGACGCAGCGCGACAGCAAGGACACACAACTGACTGGACATTGAGCAGTTGCCCGAGTCGCACTATATCGAACCGCAACAGTAAAGTAGTCATAATGTCTCTTCATATTCTTTGTACTCATATATTTATTCCTGTATCTCTTTGCTTTAATCAACTTACTTTGCCCTCACATACTAGCGCAAGGTGGTTTAATGACTTTATTCAACGCTTCCGCTATTACATCACTTACTCAGACTTTAACTCTACAACGATCCTAGGGCTTTTCAGCCCAACAGCATCGACAATCCTCCCGCCACCTTCGCACGTCGCACCCCGACCTCACGGCTCGGCGGGTAACCCGCGCTCCGGGCCTCCGCTTCGACATTTCCCCAAACCTCAGTCCCAGGCCCGTCGCGCGACAACCACAGTCCATTACCGTTACCACTGTAGTTTCGCTATATATTCTTCGCTCATGCCTTCGCTCATTGTACTCTTGCTTTGATAGTGCAATTCTCACCCGATCACTCAATTGCACTCGTAACAATTACCTATAATTATTATCTTAGAGCCTCTTTCAGCTAAGCACACATTCTCATTCTGCTTATATCCGAGTGTAGGTTCCATTGCATTCCTTGCAGAATTTGCAAGTTCCCTGCATGTCCAACACCACTTCATTGATCAACTCAGCGTCGTGGTCATCTCCAGTTTTTCAATTAGATTTCGTCACCACTCCGTTCTTCCGAACCCTCCGCGCCTTCGTTCGATCCTCGCGTTTCGGCCGCTTCTCGTTTTCTGAAACCGGTATTTCTTGTCCAGGAGCCATGTCTGTTGCTATCCGCCGAGCATTCCTCCACGCCCGCGGAGTCCGTCAAGCATCGTTGCCGTCGCTATGTAGCCCGACTCTCCCACACTCCGCACCTGGCGGGCTCCCTCCGTTCGGTGGTGCTCGCCCGCTGCATCAGGTCTGTCATACCTCCGTGTCCTCTTTCCACGCACATCCCCTCCTCCCCTTGCCCCCCTTCCGTCTCTTTTATCATATCTCTCAAACACGCCCGCGCGCGAGCATAGCGCATGCGTATTACACGGGTATGCATGTGCAGAGGCTGCGAGGGCCATCTTTCCATCAGCATCGTCCGCTGGCTTGTTCATAGCAGCGCCGGCGAGAGGGGGTGGGCCGACGGTTAACACGGTGTATTTGCTCGTTCCAGTCTCTTCGTTTTTCGTAATAGAAAAATTACGCTCCGCACCCCATCCGTGGCCAGAGTCACCCGTGTGGAGCAGCGAAGTCTGCGACATCGGAGTCGGTGGCAGCGCGCATGGTGGAGAAGCGCAAGCAGGAGAGACATGAAAACGCGGTGCTGCTATCCATGCTGGCAGTGGGGCTCTCCATCTCCGGCTACTTCTACTACACCTCGCAGATCCGCCCCTACTCCCACTCCTCCTCTGTCACCGCCTTCCCCCTCACGCCCTCCACCCGCCTCCCCCCTGCCCCTGGTCCGCAGCCAGAGCAGGGGGCCGATGTGACCGAGAGGTCGTAGCAGGTAGTGCCGTGCATTCACTTCTTCATTGTATCACAGCTCCACAAGACTACCGTAGTTTGTGTCACAGCTGTGTGCAACACAGATCCGTGCTGCCCACAAGGACAGGAAGTAGGAAAAGGCTTCATAGATATTGTACAGCTTTATGATGGTACGGTACTGCGTTTTTTGCATAGTAGTCTACAAATTTGGGTTTCATTCTTCGACGCTTATAGTGTATTTGATTCAAAGCTAGTGAAGAGCTGCACAGGTGCTGAACCCATGCCTCTCAAGGTCAGATATTCAATTCAAGGAGATCTAATGTGTTCGTTTGCGTGTCATTCCATCTCACCGGTAATGTTCGAATCGAGCCTTCACAGAGTACAATCTGATGCGATATTGCGCCTTACGCCTCCACACTCTTCTCAATGCCTCCCTTTCCTACGCGTTTCGTGTGTCATTTCGATGACTTTTGCCTCGCCCATTTGTTTCCTCGTCAGATCTCGTGGAGCTCCGTTACCACCCTAGAGCTGAAATCGCATTGGCAGCGATAGCGGATGGCCTGAGGCACGTCCCAGAGGAAATGACAAAGCCCCCTGATTTATGGTTTCCAATTCCTTTCGGCAGTGGTTTTGACACCACCCCGCTACGCGCTCGCGTCCGATACCTTCGGGCCGATAATTTCGCTAATTCCCTTTCCAAGTCCTACCAGTCTTATTTCCTTTTTCTTTAGGGGATATTCAAAATCAAGCATCGCTTTATTTACTAGCAGTGCGGAACAAAAATATATATACCCCTCTTGGATGGCATGCCATTCGGGAGGCATCAACCCTAAACACCATGAGGCAAGGTGTTTAGGGTTGATGCCTCCCTAATGGCCAGCCATCCGAATGGGTTTTTTTTTAACACTGGCCTCAAAACTGAAGCCAGGTAGACTTCATAATTTCCCCAGTCACAGAAAATTGGAAATGTCGGAAAAAACTGCCCCAAGGAATCGGACGCGACCGCGAAGCAGGGTGGTGTCAAAACCACTGCCGAAAGAAATTGGAAACCAGAAAACAGGGTGCCCCGTCATTTCCTCCACGTCCCAGCACCGCCTCACACAGCACGTGGTTGCACGAGCCGAAGTGCCCCCAACAGTAATGAATTTGCTGGTCGCCATTTTGTACAGTAGCGTGAAAGTTGCCCAAGAATTGAACAATACCCGTCCATACCAACCACGCTAGCCAGAGATCATGACCTATTGGGGTTCTTGACTAAGCCGAAACGCCAGTTGCGCCCCCCTGATGCCCGGATGTGTACAACGCGGCGAGGCTCGAGGGGCCGCGAGGTCGGGCGCGTGGGGCGGGCAAGGCGCGGATGGCTATTCTTCGACGCGCGGCCCTTAGCAGCCAGGTCGCCCGAGATACCGAACCAGCAGTGGACAGCCCAGCTTCCTTAGTCCGCCCGTTGCAGTCACAGGACGCGAGTAGCCTATCAATGGAGGAGCCTGGCAGTCCCAAGGCGCGCAGGCGGCGAGCGAAGTCGCGCGAGATGCACGAGGAGTGCACGTCGACGCGGGACGACCTGAGAGCCGACGCGCGACACGAACGGAGCAAGAGCAGCGCGACCAGTTCTGCTGGTACTCGCTTGCTGTTCCCGCCTCTCTTGCTATCCCGCGTCATTGCTGTGATGCCTCCAACTGTGCGCATATCCAATGCATTCTTCCCCCCTCTCCCCCCCAATCATTCACCCCCTCCCTTCCCTAATCCGTCGACTGCCCTTCCGCTGCTTCCCCTCGCCTCCCCGTTTCTTCGCTCTGCCGCCAGCAGGCGGAAAGGGGTACAGCGCGGATGCGCGGGGCGAGCAGGAATCCGCGACAGGGAAGCAGCGTGGCGCAGAGGGGGGCGCGCGACGGCGAGGGCGCAAGCTCAGCGCGGACGCGGCGGAGGAGAGGGGCGCGGAGGGCACTTGGGGGGCGGTGATTGTATGGGCGGGAGAGCAGGAGGAGGCGGAGGAGAGCGGGCAGGTGGAGGAAGCGATGAGGACGGAATGGCAAGGGTGGGCGGATGGGGGACGGGCGGGGATGTGGGACGAAGGGGAGGGAGGTGCGCATGCGAGGCGGCCCCTGTCGCATGCTGTGTCGCTGGGTGTCTCTCTCGCGCGCCACCTCCAGCAGCAGCCAAGGGCGGCGACGTGGGGGCAAGCGCACGGTGCAGGAGCGGAAGAGGTGGAGGAGGAGGAGGAACATGGCACAGCAGGGCGAGGCGGAGGAGTGTTGGCGCCTGGTGCGCTGATACCTGCTACGCCAATCCCCATCCCCACCCGCGCGCCCCTCCGCCTGTCCCGTGGCATGAGTCTGGAGGCGCACGCCTTTGGCGACCTGTACGCGTCGCCGCCCTCGCCCCCGCGCCACTCTGCGGCCCATCTCAAACCTGCCGCTGCCCCCTCGTCCCCACCAGCGCCCACAGCGCTGGCAGCGCGGGTCAGCCCGGCGCGCGGTGCACATGGGTTGGGTGCGGACGGGGGACGTGAAGGGCCGCGGGGGCACGGGCACGGGGTGAGCGAGGGCGGTGGGGGTGGCGGTGGGGGGCATGGGGGCGCGCACGCCCATGGCGGGTTGCCCAAACCGCGTGGCAAAGGGGGCAGGGCGGGCGCGGGCGAGGGCAGCAGCAGGCGCGCAGGGAGGCATGGGCGGTCGGCGTCCGTGTCGAGCATTGATGAGGGCTCCCTGGGGGGCTTCCCCAGGGGCACGTCGCCCACAGGGGGAGCGGCCAGCACAGCGGGCGCCGTGGCGGGGCGGCAGCACAACGGCGATGGGCGCGCGGAGCAGAGGCATGCGCGGTCGGGGTCAGGGGGGAGTGCACTGGGGGGGAAGGGCAGGATAGGGCAGGGCGAGGTGGAGCAGTGCGGGGAGGAGGAGGGAGTGCAGGGCGAGTATGGGGATGTGGTGCTGTGCGGTGCGCGTGGTGCACCTGCTGCTTCCCCCGTGTGGCAATCCCCACCACCTACGCTCACTCGCCACCAAAGGCAGGGCAGCCTCCCTCCCAACCTGCACTTCCTCCCACACTCCATGTCACCTTCGCCCCCCAACTCCCGTTCCGCCTCTCCTTCCAATCTCATTCCCCCGCTGCCCCACCCGCCCTCGTCCCTCCACCCCCCTGTGCGCCGCCGCTTACTGCAGCAGCCGCAGCAGCAGGTGAGCGAGCAGGGGGGAGCGGCTGCAAGGCACAAGGCAGTGATGGTGGAAAATGGCATGGAGACACGGCTGTTGGCGGCGAGGGAGGGGGAGGGGAGCGGGGAGGAGGGCGAGGGTGCATGGTTCAAGGGCGGCGCTGCTGCAGTGCCAGGTCTCGGGCTGGATCGGGCAGTGGCAGCAGTGGCAGGAGGAGCAGCGAGTGAGGCAGTAGGGGGCAGTGGGGGGCGAGGCAATTCAGGGCTGGGACCATCGCGCCGCACCAAGAGCATGGCCTTCCCCTCCTCCCTTCCCTTCACCCCTCCCCATCCCGCTGCCACCACGGAACGAAGCCCTGCATGCGAGCAGCAGGGCGACAGCCACAGCCTCACGGACTCTGCTGGGGAGGCACGCAGCAAGACTAGTCCCCTCAGGCCACCAGCCGTGCCCACACGCGCTGTCAGCCCCACCCTCACGGACAGTGCTGCCAGTGTGAGGAGCAGCCGCCTGGGCCGTGCGGGCAGGAGCCTGGGCGCTGGAGAGCTCGCTCACCTCGTGGCCGCCGCCTCCTCGCCGCCCTTCCTGCCGCCCGGTGCATGGACGGCGGGCGGCGCAGGCGGCGACGTGGAGCAGGACCTGTATGGCGATGGGGCGGCGGAGGCAGAGGGGTGTGGGGTGAGGTGGGCGGCAGGCAAAGGGGAGGCGAGAGGGGCGAATGGGAGGTGGCATGAGGCAGGCGTGGCAGGGGACATAGTGGGGGCAGGCGTACAGGGGCTTGGCATGGCGTGTGAAGGAGGTGTGGCGGGTGAGGAAGGATGGGGGCATGCGGGGGCGGATGAGGAGGGCGCGAGGGAGGTGGGCGGGGGAGGGCGGGATGAGAGGGTGGAGGGGAAGAAAGAGGGAAAGAAGAAGGTGCGGAGGAAGGGGAAGAGCGTGGATGGCATTGGCGCAGGGGCAGGGGCAGGGGCAGGGGCAGGGGCAGGGGATGGCGGCGACAGTGGTGGCAGCAGTGTGCGAGGGCCAGTGGGGAAGCAGAGGAGCGAGGGCAGCAAGGGGGGAGACAACGCAGAAGACGTTGGGATCGTAAAAGGTTCCATGGAAGGCCAAGGGGAGCAGGTAGCGGGAAAGACAGCGAGGCGGGAGAGGGCGAGCAGTGCAGGCAAGGCAGCGGTGGTGCGCAAGGAGCAGCACCGGCGGCACCGCACTGAGGTGCTGGACGCCCATGGCAGCAAGGCAGGCAGGGGGAGAAGGGGCAGCGCCGGCGAGCATGGCGACTTGTTCCCCGCGCCCCCCAGCCCCGTGTCCCCCCCTGCCCCTGCTGCTGCTGCCCCGTGGCAAGCAGGCACAGGCGTGTTGGGGCCAGGGGGAGCAGGCGCAGGCGCAGGCGGCAAGGCGGGCAGGCTGAGGCGGGGGTTGAGTGAGGCGGTGAGCATGGGCGCGCACATGCGTGCGGGGGACACGGACCTGGCGCACTGGGTGCACACGGGCCAGCGCGGGGGGGGGGAATGGCCCCACACGGAGGAGAGCGCGGGGGTGTGGGGTGGCGGCACGGGCGTGGGGGGGGAATTCTCAGGAGAGGAAGTGATGAAGGGGATGAGGGGCGCGAGCAAGGCGAGTGGCACGCGTGGTGGTGGCAAGGGGGCGCGTGGGTGGGCACACGAAGGGGCGGACGAGCGCAGCGACCTGGAGAGCGAGTGGGAGCGCGAGAGGGGCAGGCAGGCGCACCAGCATGGCCGCACCAGGAGCTGGGTGGGGGGGGCGACCGGGCAGCGGGAAAAGGGGAGGGTGGGCGGGGAGGCAGAGGAGGATGGGTTGAGGGAGGAGAGTGAAGACGAGGGGGCGAAGGAGAGGGCGTGGGCGTTGGAAACGCAGCGACAGATGCAGCGAGGGGGGCAGCAGCAGCAGGTGGCGGGGCAGGGGCTGGCGAGGTGGACGTCTCTGGCACCGGGGCTGGCAGCCGCACACGCTGCTAATGCAGCACAGGCAGCGCTGGGTGCACAGGCCGTGAACACACAGCGCACAGCAGAGGCACGCGAGGCAGGAGCAGCGAGTGCGGGCACGGCAGGGGGCACGGGCGCGGGCACGCGGGGTCATGGCGCCCCTGGTTCTCCTGTGCCCTTCTCCCTGTCGGCTGGAGCAGCACCAGCGGCAGCAGGGCAGGCAGGGGCGGTGGGGCGAGTGAGGCTGGTGCGCGCAGTGGGGGGCAGCATGAGTGTGGGCATGCATAAGCTGAGCGAGGTGCTCTGGGACGTTGATGATGCTGCTCCTGCTGCCACTGCTCCCACAGCTCACGAGAGCGCCCCTGCGTGTACTGACAGCAGTATTGAAGGCAGCGCTGAAGCCTCTCCCCTGGATGCGCTCACCCCGCATGCACAGCAGCAGGGTGGAGGAGCGTCGCCCCACAGTGTGCCCACCAATCTCCTTACCTCTCTTCCAAGGCTCGCTCCCCTCACTTCCCCCGCCTCCTCCTTCTCCTCCCCCTCGCCTGCCTCCTCTGCTTCCTCTTCCTCCCTTGCCTCCAGCTCGCTCTCTCACTCGCGCACGCTGGGAGAGGGCAGGGCACAGGGCGCGTTGGCACATGTGAGGGAGGAGGAGGAGGAGAGAGGCGGCAGGAAGAGGCAGTCGGGTGTGGAGGCGACCCAGAGTGGCAAGGCAGGGAAGTCAGGAGGAGAGCGGCGTGGGGTGCAGCAGGGGGGCCGTGCAACAGGCAGTGGTGTCCCCGCAGTGGAGCACAACGGCCCTGCTGTGTCGCCCCTCGCCGTCCCTGCACATGCCCCAGCGCACGTGCACCCCAGCTCGGCAGCAGGGGCGGGTAGGAGCAGCAAGGGCGTGGGCAGGGTGGTGCGGTCCACCAGCAGCATGGCCGCCATCACTGCCTCCTCCTCCCTGCTCGCCCACCTCCTTGCTGCTGCCGCCTCCGCCTCCCCCTCCGCCGCCGCTGCTGGTGGTGGTGGTGGTGGTGCTGCTGCTGGTGGTGGTGTCAGCCCTGCCATGGCGCATGTGGAAGGAGGGCCGGCTGGAGCGCTGTGGGAGGAGGGCGAGCGGGCAGCGGGCATGGCAGGGAGCGGCGCAGGGCATGCGGCATGGCAGCATGGGGAGGGAGTGAGCGCGTTGTCGCTGTTTGCTGGTGTGCTGGGAGCAGTGCCAGGGGTTGAGAATGGCGGGGCAGGTGCAGAGCAGCGAGGGGAAGGCGGGGAGGGCGGGCAGGGAGGGATGGGCAGTGGCAGGGAGCGGCGGCTGGAGAAGATGCCGAGTGACGGCTTCCAGACCGCCATGCGCTCCGAGCGAGCCTCTGCACGCAAGGGCAGCAGGAGGAAGAGCCGCAAGCACAGCGGCAGTAGTGACGCTGCTGCTGATGCTGCAGACGCTGGTGGCGCTGCGGCACATGGCAGTGGCGGGGGCGATGCGGACTTAGAGGAGGTGCAGGGCGGCCATGGGGATGGAGGGGCGTGGGTGCAGGGCAGCACGCACGAGGCCGCAGAGGTGAGTGTGGAGGACCATGGCATAGTGGCCGGGACAGGCGGCGCAGTGGGGGGCGAGGAGCAGCCACTCGGTGCGTCAGCCCCAGGCAGCGGCGGCAGCGCAAGCGCAGAAGCACAGCCAGGGAAAGTCGAAGGCGAGGCAGGCAGCAAGGCAGATGGCAAGGGTGGTGGGAAGGCGAATGGGAAGGTGCCCCGGGCGAAGCAGAAGCTGGGGCGGGGCAGCAAGGAGGTGCTGCGGCGGGGGCTGTCGAGCGTGCATGAGGTGTACGAGGTGCACATGGACATGCAGCTGGGCAGTGGGCAGTTCGGAGTCATCCGCATGGCACAGCACAGGCAGAGCGGGGACAAGTTCGCCTGCAAGAGCATCAGCAAGAGCTGCCTCAAGGTGCACCCGCCCGCTCTCCCCAATCCCGCCCCCTCGCCGGTCCATTAGTCCTTTCGCTAGCCGTTGCCGACTCTCTCTCATGCACTGCTCTCATACAACCACTTTCAACCACACCTTGTCTCTCTCTCACACCCTCTCCCACTCCTCTCTCGCACCACCCCTTCCCCCTTCCCCCCTTGGTGCGCGGCATCAGAGCAAGGCGGACGCGGATGACATAAGGCGCGAGGTGGCCATTCTGGAGCTGCTGGCGGACCACCCTCACGTCGCCCGCCTGCACGCCGCCTTCGAGGACCACCAGGTGCCCGCCCACCCTGCTCGCCTGCTCGCCTGCTGGGGTGCTGGGGCGTGCACGGCATGGCACCATCACCTTACTGTTCTGCATGAGAGCCTATGCCCCACCCGCCTGCCTTTCACACTCACGCCTGCCTCCATGCTCCCGTCTCCGCCCTTCTCCCCCTCCTGACTTGTTCTCCGCGCCGTCCCTCCTTGCCTGCCTGCCCGGTGGTCCCCCTGGCAGGAGGTGCATCTGATAATGGAGCTGTGTCGGGGGGGCGAGTTGTTTGACCGCCTCAAGCTCGTGGGCACGTACAGCGAGCGCGAGGCGGCGGTGCTGCTGCGCACGCTGGTGGGCGTGCTGCAGCGCTGCCACGCCATGGGCGTGGTGCACCGCGACGTCAAGCCCGAGAACATCCTGCTCGTGTCCAAGCGATCGCACACGGACATCAAGCTCATTGACTTTGGCGTCGCCGCCTTCCTCAAGCCAGGTCCGCCTCCCGCCCACCGCTCCCCCTTGCCATCATCGCCTTGCTCACGGGTTGTGTCTGCGCTGACATGCCACTGTGCCCTTCCCTCCCCTGCCATGCCCACCTGGTTCCACCACGCCAGCACCCACTCACCCCCTCCTTCCACGCCCCGACTCCCATCCCATCCTCCGTGTCGTTCCCCACCCCCGTTCCACTGGCCCCCTCCCGTAGGCGTGGAGCTAACGGAGTTTGTGGGGTCGCACTACTACATGGCGCCCGAGGTGATCGAGGGGCAGTACGGCGCCGAGGCGGACATCTGGAGCGCGGGCGTGGTGCTGTACGTGCTGCTGTCCGGCGTGCCGCCCTTCTGGGCCAAGAGCGAGGAGGGCATTCTGCACGCCATCCTCGACTGCCGCCTGCGCTTCAAGGCCGATGCGTGGCGCACGCGCAGCGATGCTGTGAAGCACCTGCTGCGCTGCATGCTCACCCGCAGCCGCACCGCTCGCATCACCGCAGAAGGCATTCTGGGTGAGGCGCTGAGGCGGGTGGCTGTGGAGAGGGGAGAAGGGGGGAAGGTGAAAGGGGTGAATGATATGGTATGAGGGCGCTGGTGGAGAGGAGAGCATGTGGTTGCAGGGACGAGAACATGCTGCCCTGTGCTGTGCGTGCTGCTTGGTGTGTGTACAGTGTGTGTCACTCAAGCCTCGTGCATGTCACCATGGACCCCCTCCCTTCCCTCCCATTCCTCTCCTCCACCCTTGCCTTCCTTTCAGCCCACCCGTGGATGCAGGCGTTCTCCCAGGCACTGCCAGCGCTACACTCCCCCACATGATGGGATTCCCTCCCCACCCGCGCACTCACCCACAACACCGCCTGCAGCACCACGTGCACCATGCTGTGCACCGTCATGTGTGGCATGAGAATAGAGGGCAGGGCAGGCTCAACTGCACGGCCCTCACGACCCCTGCCATGCTGCACCTGGAATGGCCGTCCTTCTTGTGCGTACCCTGCTGCCTGTCCTCCCATATCCTCCACAGGTCACATAGCCACCTGACCCAACTCCCACCGCTCCACCATCAACCACCGCCTGGCATGATCACGCAGAAAAAAAAATCAGGGGTAGAAAATCAGTCGCAGCATTTATTTAATTATGTTAACCTTGAGGTAATCATAGCAGCATGTATCTTGAGTGAGAGTAGGCAGGTAAGGCACCACCAGTAGTTATGGCATGATTTTCTAATATAGTTATTTCTTATTCTCCTTTCCGGATGCCCCTTCCTCTCGTGGAGTACACCAGTCGTCGCAATAACGAGTGCGCGAACATTCACTTCACACATCCCTCCCGACCTCGGGAGTACTAATCCGACGCGCCCTGCGCAACGGGAATCACTTCGCTGCACACATACCCCCTTTCCGCAACCCCGCCAGCGCGCCGTCGCACTCACCACACTCTCCCGTCGTGACTCCCCTTCACTCCCCCCCCTGCCGCTCTGCTCACTCGCCCTCACCCCTTCCCTCCTCCCTCCTCTCCCCCTCGCCATGCGTCGAGCTGCCTGGTCCGTCGTCGCGTCGTTGCGCCGATCGGCCGCCGCCACCAGCAGGGACGCCCCCCGCCGCACCGCCACCACCAGCACTGCCAGCGCGGCGGCGCACACCCCGCGCGATCCCCCCGCCCACTGTAGCGCGGACCACTGGTGGCGGAATTTCACGCATTCCTGCAGCCGCCAGCCCGCCGCGGGCGGCAGAGGCAACGCGAGCAGCGTGTACGGCCCCGCTATACCCCGCGGCACCCGCCAATTCTCCGCCTCCGGCACTGGCGAAAGCGGCAGCGGAGGCGGAGGGAGGGCGGTGGGGAGGCAGACGGAATGGTACGTGGACCGGCACGGCGTGCGGCACTTCCAGCGGCGGGGGGCGCTGGCGTGGCTGGCGCAGGCGACCTCCAGGCAGTCCGCGCATGGGGGCCAGGGGGGGGGATGGCGCGTGTCCCCCGAGGTTGTGTTGGTGGCGGTGGGGGTGGCGGGCGGCACGGCGGTGTGGGTGTACGTGAGTCACGTGCAGGAGGTGCCGTACACGCAGCGCCGGCACTGGGTGCTGCTGTCCGTGGCACAGGAGAAACGCATCGGTGAAGAGGCGTTCCAAGAGGTGCGCTGGAGACGAGGGGGCCACGACGCAAGCACACAGCAGGGGGCACCTTTTGCGGGTTTCAAAAGAGGGGGAGAGGACAGGGCAGCGTGGGTATGGGTGGGGCATGCGGCTGTGTCCAGAAGCTCGTGCACAGCACCACGCGCCCTTCCCTCCTGCCCCCTCCGTAGTATCCGCACACCCCTCATCCCCGCTTTGCTCCCCTCCTCCTCCTGTTCCCCCCATCCCCACACCCCCTGTGGCTTGCGCTGCCGCAGGTGAGGGAGCAGCATCGCGACCGCCTGCTGCCGTCCACGTCAGCAGAGGCGCTGAGAGTGCGCCACGTGGCGACCAAGATCATCCAGGCCACCACGGAGCACGTTGACCCGGTACAGTGGCATGCTGCCTGCGCCCGTGTGTGTGTGACGCACGATGTATTATCATAGGGCCTACTCAACACACGGACATGTGGATGGGTAGCCTGGATGCAACTCCATAGCCCCTCTCCCCTCTCCTTGCCCAACCTTCTCTCTCTTCTCTGGCCTCCCTTCTCCCCCTCGTCCTCCCCCTCTTTCCCCCCAGGGCAAGCCCCCCCAGGTGGAGTACTGCCCGCTCTCCCCCTCCTCCACCGCCCCCGCACACCGCCCCATCTCCACCCCCTCGCCCTCCGCCTCTGATGCTGTGGCCGGGGGAAAGCAGGGCGGGGGAGGGGAGGGAATGGGGGGCGCAGCAGGGGATGGGGATGCGGGAGGAGGGCAAGGGGATGCGCTGCTGGAGGACAGCGAGTGGCTGGACAGGCAGCAGCGGTGAGATGCATGCACACTGCACTGCACACCTGCCACTATGCATGCATGCACATCACCTTCCATACACCTCTCTCGCCCTCTCTCTCCACATGCTCATGTGCCTCCCAAAGCATGTCGCTCTACGGCTCTCTGCTCTTGCTCGTGCCACTGCCGCTGCATGTGGCCGTGGCAATGCGTGCAGGCAAGCACAGGCAGTACGGGGCGAGGGGCGGCCGTTTGAGGAGCACTTGAAGGGGCTCACATGGCAGGTGGGGTGACAGGCAGGTCATGACAGGCTCATGGGCGCATGTCAATCGTTTCAATCATTCTTCCTGCCATCACATCATGTTTGCTGCTGCCTTCTCTCACCACAGACCCGCCCATCTGCACCGCATGGAACACGCCCTTTTTTCCACTCCCTGCTCCTCTCCACTTCTCCCTCCTGCCCCTTGGGGCCGTTGCTCCTTGCGCTGACCGTCCCGTGCCATATTCTCCCCCCCCAGGTGGCGGTGGTGGATGCGCCGGTGCTGAACGCCTTCTGCCTGCCCAGCGGCAAGGTGGTGGTGTTCTCGGGGCTGCTCAAGCGCTGCCCCGATGACAGCCAGCTCGCCACCGTCATTGGCCATGAGGTCCGAGCATGGCGCATGCAATGGGCGTGCAAGTGGGGTGTGGGGTCATGGGCATGCATGGGGGTTTGAGTGCGTGTTCACGTTCTAAATGAGCTCCTCCTCCCTTCCCCGTCGCCTTCTCCTCTCATTTCCCTCACCTGTTACCGCTCTTCCCTATCCCACTCCCCACCCCCCCGTCGTCCTTTCTCCGCTGCGAGCAGGTGGCGCACATAGTGGCGCGGCACGGGGCGGAGCGCATGAGCAGTGCGATGCTGGTGGCGGTGGTGCAGATGATCATCGTCAACTTCCTGCTCAGCTGGCCGGCCTTCATCCGCACCGCATCCGACCTCCTCATCTCCCTGCCCTTCTCCCGCATGTACGCCCTCCTCCTCTCCAATACCCTCCTGCCCCCTCTTTCGCCTCACATATGTGGCACCCCTCAGCCTAAGACATGCCTATGCCCCCACCCTTGCTCCACCTTTTGCTGTCGTCCGTCGTCTGCCCACTTTGAGTGTGACATGTCTCTCCGTATCGCTCCTCCTGGACCTCATCCTGTGTGGTGCATGGGGCGGGCAGGCACGAGTTGGAGGCGGACCGCATAGGGCTCATGCTCATGGCCAAGGCCGGATACAACCCCGATGCTGCTCCGGGTAGGTCCCATGCCATGCACACACCACACTGCTGCCATGCCATGCCCATGTGCTGCTGTCGCACGCGCCACAACTGCTGCTCATGCCATGCTGTCATGCGCATGTCCCACCTTGGTACTGTATTGCCCATTCAGGCTTGGGGCCTGTCTCGCACATCCCTTCCCCTCCCCCTCCCCGCTGCAACCACCATGCACCGCCCCCAACCCCACCCCAGGTGTGTATGAGATGCTGGACCATGCGAGCAGTGGTGGCAAGGCGCAGCGACCAGCACCCGCACCAGAGGGGGCGGACAAGGCAGGGTGGGGCGACTTCATGTCCACGCACCCTGCAGGCACGCGCAGAGCAGCGCTGCTACGCAGCAGTGCGAGCATGCAGGAGGCGAGACGAGTGTACCGAGAGACAGTTGAGAGGGAGGCAGGGGGGCAAGGTAGGATGTGGGGTGGGGGGGACTCATGGTTTGGCTTCTGATTCACCTCTAAGCGACATGTCATGGCATGAAAGGTGGACGTCGTTAGATACCGTAATTCATGCTGCTTGTTCCATGTTTATTGAGGTGGTGATAGTGTCCATTGCTGTAAATGCAAAGCTATGCTTCATTGAGTGAAGCAGGGCCGTCTGTGCCCACAAAGCACCAGGGCCCTAGATATCAGACTTTGGAGTCTGATTCAGAGTCCGTTCAGACTTTTTTATTGTACCTAGTCTGAACTCAAAGAATTTTTTTATGCACCCTGTCTGATTTTTCAGAGTTTTTTTAACTGACTTGTCTGAAATTTCAGAGTAGCCATAGTACCGTAGTGTAGGCTGAGCCTCAAACTTGTATCGGGGGTCAACTCTGAAACCGGTTGTACAGGGGTTTCCGCCGACTGAATGAAAGGTTATCGGAACGAAACTTCCTCGAAACTTTTTTTCGATACACCCACGTGTGTACACACGATTTCCTCCGGATAAAACTGCTCGAGTAGGGGTACAAGGCTACACTACTTTGTCGACGCTATCTCGAGTGTCGAATTCCTTGGGGGCTTATAATAACCCTTAAATTGTGAAACTAGATAGCCAATCGCACATGGCCAAAACGATTTTAGCGAATCGCACATGGCGAAAAGCGAATTGGTGCAACCGAAAGCCGTGTCACATATGAGTCTCGTACTTCAGCAGAACCGCACATCATTTCCCCTTCCCAAACCGAGTCAAAATTTTGAATCTGTAACTTTAGGAGAGAATATTCCGCGCACATAGGGTGTACACAGTTGAAAACTCTTGCTGCAGCCAGCGCGCCCAGCACAGAAAAGTTCCGAGCGATACCGTGCCTGCTGCCAGGTCAGCTGATTGGGAGCTTGCCACACTTGGCACTTGCACGAGGCCATTGTCTGATGCCCACACCTCGACTCGACCCTGACTGCTCAGTGATCCTAACTCTTGACAAATGACCAATCAGAGTGCCCCATTTCTGGCCGCACAATTGCATTGGTATGCTGTAATCAGCTTCAATGCTATTATAGCTATGCTGTTATGAAACTGCATGAACATCTTAAAATTTGAAGTAACTCTGACAGTTCAGACAAAAGAAGTTGTGCTCGTCTGAATTTTCAGACTAAAAAAAATAGGTAACTCTGACAGCCAGACTAGGAAGAGGGGTGTACTCTGAGGCGTCAGACTACCTCAAAACGAATCTAGGGGCCTGCAAAGCACCTACGGTACTAAGATTCAATTAGCCAAATCAGCAGGGAGCATAACTACAGCTATTCCCACAAGCCCTACTGGTGGCACCTGGTGGCACCCAGGCACGTGGGTGATTACCCCTACTCTCAGCAACTCGAGTTGCCACACTAGTGCTCCCCCATGCAAAATGGCACACATGCCCTAGCCAGCTGCACTCTATCTTGACGTACAACTGGTTGCTCCCCCGCTCCAAGCAGCGGTCAAGGGACCCAGAGCTGGCAGCACTGGCCTCAGCACCACCCCGGTTTCCCACGAGGTAGCAGCCCATTACCCACGCCGGGCACCCCGGGCGGCATGCGCGTGCGAATGGGCTTGAGTTTGCAGGCGATTGCTTCCAGGGAGAGATCCTCCGCGCGGAAGGAGGGCTGAGGCGAGTGGCACACAGAGGACGAGGACGAGGGGGGGGACAGGCAGAGACAGGAGTGGGAGATGGAGGAGGAGGAGGTGATGGATGAGGCGTGAGGAGAGTCATCGGAGGAGGGCGAGGAGGAGGAAGATGAGGAGAGGGAGAAGCCGTAGACGGTTGAAGGGTCATAGTGGTGTGAGAGAGGCATGCACGAGTGCGGGCGGTACTGAGTGGTGGAGCGAGGGGGCAGGGAGGACGCCCAGGGAAGGGGGAGGGGGGACGCGTGCAGGAAGGGAGGCGGGCAGGAGTGGGGGACGGCAGAAGGGGGGTGTGGGGGCGAGCAGGTGGGGCGGGGGAAGCTTGTGGTGCGAAGGAACTTGTCAAGGGGGGAGTAGAGGCGGTGGGGGCACTCCACTGTCACCAGTGACCCACTGGATGGCACCTGCCGCACCGTAAGCAGGGCAGGGGAGAAGGAGGGGAGGGGAGGGGAGAGAGGGTAAGGCATGCATGGGTGGTGCGTGCTGCAGCACGCAGAGGTGCGGGCGGGCGGCTACTCTGTTACTGCACACCGCTTATACACAGACCTTCCAGCCTTGGTTCAAGGCGTAAGCACTGTGTGGCAATGCACGAGGTGACGGGCGGCGGCGGGAGCGAGTTAAGGTGAGAAGACAACAAGCGCTGATGTGAGGGCAGTGGGGTTACCTGGAACCAGGCGGCGAGGTGTGGCGGTAGGTGCTTGTGCAGGTGCAGGGCATCGTCTCGGAAGGCGGAGTGCTCGCCCACGAGCACGAGGCATGGACATGTGATCCGCCGCACCTGCTCCGTTATGTCCTGCCGACTGCACTCACCATGGCGTGGCATGAGGGGGAGTGCAGGAAGGGGGTGGAGGATGAGCGGGTGTGGGGGAGGATTGCAGCAACATAGAGAGAGGTGGTGGGATGGGAGAGTGTGAGCAGGTGGAGGGCGGTGAGTGGCGCAATGGCAAGAGGAGGCGAGGCGTCTCACTTGTTGAATGCGTCAGCATACTGTGCCACGGCACGCGGATCCCTCTCCTCGCCCTCCCCTGCTATCTGCACACACCATAGACAAGGACAGGGAGGACGGGGAACACATGGGCACACACACACACGAGTGTGTCAGATCAGCCAGGCGAGCAGGGTGATATGAAGCAGAGCAGCAGCGGAGAGCAGGTAAAGCGAGGATGAGAAGCGGGGGAGGGCCATGGTGAGTGCGGGCACACACCGGGTGCGAGGGCTGCGTCCGTGGTGAAAGTGGCTGAGCCGCGAGCGACTGACATGTGAGGTGTGTGGCGGCAGTGGTGCCGCCCTGCAGGGACGCACCAACACAGGCAACACATGGCAACCAGCAGCCCGTCAGCACTCACAACGTGCATGGAACGAGAGAGGGCTACTAGAAACCAGTGGGACACAATGTAGAGTGCGAGTGGCGCGTGCATGATGCCCGCCACAGGCGTGGCATATGAATGGTGCTCGCAGCAGCAGCAGTAGCAGCAGCAGCAGTAGCAGCAGCAGTAGCAGCAGCAGGAGTAGCAGCAGCAGTAGCAGCTGACCTTGGTGTGCGAGGCTGGACTGAGGTATCGGCCAGAGAAGGCGCCTGACACAAGGGCGGGCAGCCCCGATAGAGACAGCACCGACAGCAGCAACTGCACGCCGCAGGACGGTCGCACACACGGGTGGAGTTGGGAGTATGAGTAAACATTGGAACAGAGACAAACGATACAATGTGTGGGGTGGGATTGGCACAATGCTTGAGCGGGGTTAGTGGAGGGATGCGCAAGAGGCGGAAGCAGGTGGGCATGAGAGGGCGGCGGGAGGAGCGCACCTTGTTGAAGGCCCACTCGCTCCACGTGGGCGTGCGGCACACCGGCGACACCAGGATGAGCGCCCGCACCAGCTCTGGCCGCTTGATCTGATGCGCCTCGTGGCACGGCATGGCACACACGTCAGTGCGGGGCGATGAGCAAGGGGGCACGGAACAAGGAGGATCAGTAGTGGAAGAGTAACAGTCAGAGTCAAGGAGATGTGCAGAGACAAGGTACGACAAGCGCATTCAACTCAGCGGCAGTGTGGCTGCCTCCTGTGCCATGCAGTGCAGCAGTGCCATGAAGAGGTGCGAGGCGTACCGCGAGCAGCGTGAGGACGTACGCGCCTGCCGTGACGCCAAGGCCCGTCACCGCGGGGAGGCTGCACAATCACACCAAGGGAGCGCGCGCAAGGAGAAAGGAACCACGGGCATGTCAGCAAGGGCGGGGCCCGTGACTGGAGGGTGGCCGGCATAACCAACCAATGAGAGTGGCGTCGCGAATGCAAGACGCAGGGCGGCGCAAATGACGTCGCAAGGCGCGGCATAAGTCGCGAAATGGTACTGGCACGGGCGCACGAAAGGACCCCGGGCTCACCCCAAGTGCGCGATGGCGTCCGCGACCTGGTCCGCCAAGTCGTCCGCCGATAGCCTTCTCCGCTGCTGCCGCCCTGATGCCGCTCCCACCTGCCGCGCGCGCAGAGGCAATGAGCCGGGACGACAAGGGGAAGCGGAGTTGGAGGGGAGTGCGGGTGGGAAACGGGGGGGAGAGCGAAACTGGCCAGGCAAGCGGGGAGTCGGCTATGGTCAGGCGGGCGGGGGGAGCAACGGGGAAAGACATTCCTTGCAACCAGCGCAACATCTCCGCCAGTGAATCTACCGCGAGTCCGCCCCGCGCAACGAGCGCTCACCTCATGGTCGGGCGCGTCGACGTGGAAGACGCAGAAGTGCTGCCGCAACAGCGGCGCGGTGTCGGGGCACCTAAAGAGCGCTCCGAAGCACGACGCGTCTGCACGCACGGGGATCGGGTGCACGCACATGCAGGCGCGGGACGAGTAGGCAGGGAAGTGGGGAGAGGGGGGAAGAAAGGAGGAATCTCGAGGAATGGTAGTGCGGAAGCGGAACGGGTTAGCAGGGTGACGTCGAAAGCAAGTTGACGGCTTGTGGCGAGGTATGCGGCAGGGAGGGGAACCCGAGAGGCGAAACAAAACCACGAAGCGAAAGAATTGAGGGGAGCAGCGCGGCTTGGATCTTATGCGACCGCAGGAATGAAAGCAGCCGAAACGCGCTTACGATCGAGAGCGATGTCGTGATACGTGAAGAGTGGGTGATTCCGGCGGTCGCCAGATATAGTCACGCGCAGGGGTCCAAATCGAGTGGGCACGAGTTCCACCTGGTGCCGCATTGGTGCAATTGACGGGGAAGAAGGGGCGACGGTGGGAGGAAGAAGGTGAGGGAGGTGAAAGGTGGAATAGCGCAGTGAATACTACCGCACACTAAGAACACGCGACATACGGAATCGTCAATTGTTCTTGAAGATTGGGCATGGGCATGACGGGTACCAGTAAGAACGCTACCAAGGGCACACTTTACATCCCAATACCTGTTCCGGCCACGTGTCATCGAACGACGGCGCGCCTGTGAGCCATTCGCCGTCGCTAGAGCCGCTGCTGCTGTGGCCGCAGCAGCTGCACGCACCGCTGCTGTTCCAGCTGCCGCAATCCGCTTCCGCTTGCGGCTGCTGCCGCTGCTGCCACGACTCCAGATGCGCCCACGACGGCTGTAGCCACGCCCAGTCGCCTTCCATCCCCTCTGCGTGCCTCGACAGCGTTAATCACTTCTCTAGCCCAAGCGCTTACCCTTCAACAATCAAAACGTCGTCGCAGGTACGACAAGCTTCTTCAAGATTGTGAGATTTTCACCTCCCGACTGCTGTGGACGTAGAGAGGGAGAGAGAGAGAGGCCCCTATTATTAGTCTACCTGTTTCACGTGTGTGCTTCGTTACCAAGCTTAGCAGGCGCAGGGAAACTGACTCGACATTATTGGAGGCTCGTGAGAAATAATTGTAAAAGATCGAACTGCGATAATTTCACCTGGATGTGGTTGCTGATGATGGATGCTGCTTCGTTTCTCCTTCGCCGTCGCCACTTTGACTTGGGTTGCCGCACCGCGCTCTGTCTAGCTGGCGACAAACCAAATGTGAACCTAATTTGCAGCAGCTCCATCGTTGGTCGAGCAGAGTGTGTGCCGCAATAGCGCGCTGGTCAAACTCTCGCGCACCACCCTTGGCTGATCCGGCAAAATCAGCTTCGTGTCGCTCAACCAATCCGTGGAGGGGGGAACGAAGTTCCCGCCCGTGCGACGTGTGATACTGCGATACCAGACCACCAAGTGCAAGGCAAGGCACACCCTGGCCGACGACAGCTCAGCAGTGCGCCACGAGAACAGCATGCAATGGCCCAAGCTGTAAATTTCGCTGTTCTCCCCATCGGTTGCCTGTTCCCAAGCACTTCGCACTCCTCCCACAGCAACCTACCTGTACTGTAAATGGTTCGTTCGCCCAGGCCCAAATGGGATGAGGTGGGTACGGTCAATCCCGACCGTCCATCGAAGTCAAAGGCAGATTGACGCTGCACGGATTGGTCCCTCCTTGCCATAGCTGGTGGTCAGGCGACAGCAGGCTATAGGTTTTCCCAAAGCACACGCCAGGGCAGAAAGACTTCCCAGGTGTCAAAATGCCTCAGTAGGGAGGCTTCAAGCAACGACTGAATTCGCCATTTTTTTTCTACACGATTGTGGAAATCTCGTATATTTTGTTACAATTTGAACAAACAGGTTACCGGTAATAGGTTTGGCTCAGGTTGGTCGCACTACGTGTAGCAGCAAAAGTTTGCTTGTGGTTGGGAACGGACTCTGTCAGTAGAAGGAGCATTAGATCTCGGCCAAAGTTATTATAGCAGTGCAATACAACAGCTGATATAGGGATACAAGGAAATGCGAAGGGTCATATCTAGCCATGTATTCTGAGTGGGTACAATCCCCTTGGGGCTAATCTAGATCGGGAAAGTTGCCCAGTTCGGTAAACTAAACGCGGCATATAGCTGTTTGAATGCCTTTCTCACGCTGGCACTTCCAAATCTTCCTGATTTCAAACGTCTTCGATAACTGTTTATGACGCCCGGTCATCGTCCTTATTGTAATCATCTTCGCGTTGAAACGTTGTAACAAGCGGCAAGTGAGAGAAAGACGGCGAGAACTGTTGACGGGAAAAGGCCCCGCCCTCGCTTGGGCGAAGCAGACTATGCAGTCGGATGCGCGGGAGGCAAGGCTCTTGCTATGAACTAAGGACGTCTCATTCATCAAACAGGTCCCGAAACATCAGACATGGTTTTGTCTGATTCTGATAAGAAAGTGAGATGACGCGAAAAAAGTAAGTTCGAAAATTTGACCATCACACCAAAATGGTCTAATAACAAGAGCCCTAGTAGGAGGTTTCAGCCGGCTGCACGCAGATGTCGACGTAGAATGCTGCAGAAGTCGACGCCGAGTTAGGCAAGTAGGTCGGCGAGTTGTACGGTCGACGGGGTTATGGGTGTTGGTCGACCAGACTTTGCCCGACGGGATGTGGTCGACATCGCCGACATTCAGTGCTGCTTAACGGGTCTTCTCAACGCGTCTCGGCGAAAGATCTTTGACGTAGCATCGTCGACCTGGTCGACGCAAGTCGCTCGACTGCGAAATCTGATGCGTGGTCGAATGTCGCTTTGCAAAGTCGACCGGCGGAACGTCAACACGTACTCTACAGTGCACGACTCGGGAAACTGTCGACACGTGTTCAAGTTGGCGCCTTCGTAATGTGCCTGGCGGCGCGATCGTCTATGTGCACACATCTGCACAAGTTCAAAAGTGTCTGCAGTGCTAGCAGACAGATTTGTGCAACGTTGGCTCGCAGCCCTGCTGCAACGTTGGCAAACCACTATTATGCTTCTACCTCCAAAACGCGGAAGGATCCGCACATGTGCAGGAAGTGCGACGGGCGCTCTTCATTCGCGAGCGCCGATGACCGATGATGCTCGCAACCCTCCCACGCCCTTGCTGGCTTGGTAATATGCCCAGACAAGCGCAGCCACGTGATCTGGCGAAAAAAAAACACTCGAACGAGTGCTTCTAGCCCCAAAACGCCGAAGGATCCGCACATGTGCAGGAAGTGCAGCGGACGCTCTGCATTCGCGAGTGCTCATGACCGATGATGCTCCAAACCCTCCCACGCCATTGCTGGCTTGGAAATAGGAACAGACAAGCGCAACCACGTGACCCGGCGGAAGAAAAACGTCGGAACAAGCGTTTTTCCCCCCAAAACACGGAAGGATCCGCACATGTAGAGAAAGTGCAGCGGGCGCTCTTCATTCCCGAGCGCTGATGACCGATGATGTGTCAGAGGTCCACTGGTGATCCCCGATTGATCCTAGGGAAGGGTTACAGGCACGTTGGCCTGGGGGGTTATGGGCGCACTGACCCGCTACACAAACAAGCCCTTTTATCCCAATGGTCTAGTGGTTGGGATTCTGACATGGTATCAGAGCGAAGGTCTCGGAATCGAATCCTGGTGTATGCACTTCGGGCATCCCAGTGCGGGGGGGTGTCAGAGGTCCACTGGTGATCCCCGATTGATCCTAGGGAAGGGTTACAGGCACGTTGGCCTGGGGGGTTATGGGCGCACTGACCCGCTACACAAACAAGTCCTTTTATCCCAATGGTCTAGTGGTTGGGATTCTGACATGATGCTCGCAACCCTCCCACGCCCTTGTTGGTTTGGCAATAGGCCCAGACAAGCGCGGCAACGTGACCCGGCGGAAGAAAGACGCTCGGAACGAGCGCTTTTACACCAAAAACGCGGAAGAATCCGCACACGCGCACGAAGTGCAGCGAGCACTTTTCGTTCGCGAGCGCAGATGACCGATGATGCTTGCAACCCTCCCACACCCTTACTCGCTTGGTAATATGACCAGACCAGCGCAGCCATATGACCCGGCGGAAAAAAAAACGCTCAGAACGAGAGCTTCCAGCCCCAAAACGCGAAAGAATCAGCACATGTGCAGGATGTGCAGCGGGCGCGCTTCATTCGCGAGCGCCAATGACCGATGATGCTCGCAACCCTCTCACGCCCTTGCTAGCTTTGCAATATGCTCAGACAGGGGCAGCCACATGACCCGGCGGAAAAACAACGCTTGGAATGAGAAGAAACGAGAATGATTGAACTATGAATGAATTGGGTACAAGTACTAACCCTAATTGGGTTGTACCCCTTATGGGCTACCCCACTATAGCCTACACAATATGCATGAGCTATAATGTTCTGACACACCCCCATAGGCAAAGTGGGGGAGAACAAGGGGTCACAAGACCAGTCAAGCAAAACAAAGCAAAGCAAGCTCAGAGTGGATCACAAAGTCACCACACATTCCGAGCACAAGTTCAAGGCCACAAGGCCAGTTCACATGCAGGAGTACATATGTATAAAGAAGGCTAGACAAGCAAGAGCAGGTATATATATATATATATATATATATGTAACAGTACAAGCAAGGTCAAAAGGTGAGCAAGTGAGGCAAGGTAGGCACAAGGCCCAGCTGAGTACTGAAGCGCTGATGGTCACAAGGCGCAAGCGCCTTGGTGAAGATATCAGCAGTGTTGGCCTCAGAGGCCACGTACGCAAGACGCAGCTGGCCACACTGCTGCAGCTCATGAGCAAGAAAGTAGCGGAGAGCAATGTGCTTCGTTCTGTGCTCCAGTCGCTGCTCCCGACACAAGGCCAGCATGGCCTTGTTGTCTACGTACAGCACTGGAGGAGAACGAGGCGGCTCTCCGAGGTCAGTTAGCAGGTAGGTGAGCCAGCGAAGCTCCTGTGCAGCCATGGCTCCTGCGTAGATCTCAGCCTCACAACTGGAGCCGAGAATAGAAGACGAGCGAGTAGCCCGCCACGAAACAGAGTCGGAACCAAGGCTGAAGGTGTAACCCTGTGACGACCGCTGCGTAGCCTGGTCGTCACCCCAAGAAGCCTCTGCGTGCCCAGTAAGGACCACTGGACTCTGCCCTCCTAGAACAAGCCCCATGCCCGACGTACTGCACAAGTAGCGCAACACCCTCTTCGCTGCAGCCATGTGCTCCGGTCTGTGTCTCCCAGGAGCAACATAGCGTGCGAGAATGCTAAGAGGGTATGCAAGGTCAGGTCGTGTGCAGGTCATCAGGTACATGAGGCAGCCAACAAGCTCTGGGTACGGGCTGTCAGAATGAGAAACGAGAATGAGGAGTGACTAGCAGGAACAACAGTACAAATATGTCAAACCCTAATCTGGTGTACCCCTTATGGTGTGACCCACTACAGCCTAGAACCACACAAACAT